CCTAACTGCACAGTTACATTTGCCTATTTATATCTTTTACATCTCCCTTTAGCTAGCAGCTGAAGTTTTGAGTACAACCACAGGAAATCACAGGCTAGTGTAAAAACTTCCAAATTACTTCCTGTATAGCTCAATAACAAACTTTCTAAGATCCAAAAGCAGTTCATGATTTTAGACCTCAAAATACATTCATAGTCAACTACACACAGCTTACATTTCATGTAAACTAGATTGCTAAATACTAAGCCAAGACACCAACAATTTGGAGCAGTTTTTATACCATATCCTATTGAAGATGCACACACTACACAGAAATATAATGACATCTGTATATTCCAATTGACTTGAACAATATGGGGAATAATATTTTTTAAAATCAATCATTCTATTTCTGTTTGCCGAATTCAGACCCTATATAAAGAACTTCTTGTGATTAGTCTGAAAAACAAAACAGAAGATAATTATAAATGCTTCAAATACAAAACCAAAGTTGCACCCAGATCTGTACATACAGAGTTGTACTGAAAGAGGACAGGTAGTGTGATTATTTTGATTCCCCCACTTCTCTGAATGCCTCAGCAGCAGCGCCCAGGCTATTAGGGAAGATCCAATGGTATGTCACTTAACTGCAGGATAACTCAGTGAAATAGACTGAGAGTTTGAATACCCACTGTGCCTCCATGACAGGGGCTGGACTCAATGATCCATAGGGTCCCTTCCAGTTCTGAATTTCTATTGCTATTACTATTATTATTACTATTCAAAAATACCAGGAACAGTCAAATCAAAATTATAAAAACACTGACTGGTATTACATAACAGATTCAAGTTTTAACCCAAAACCTAAGTATTTGGTAAATATCAACTTAGTACAGTATATATGCTGTTCCTAATATTGCCGTTTTTGTAACTCTGTTTATGTTATTTCTGGAATCTGCAACTGCTTATAATACTGTGTAAAAATTGTTGATGTTATTCCCAAGACCCCACTGACTGTGGGGACCACTTAAGTGTATTCCATTCACAAGGGAGATGTTTCAATTTCCAGATCTTGGCATTTTGTTAATTTTTTCAATTATTTTGCTTCAACTCTGGCATCTCCTGGAATGATCCAAATATTTCTTAATTCTATTAGTACTATGTCTGGTGTGTTTATGTTCACGGTGTCTATCAGTTTGGATCCGGAATTCTCACAAAATCTTGACTTCCTCATTTTCTGACATCTTGTCTACCTGATGTTCTCCTGGGTTTTTGGAGGCTGGCAAGTTATATTTATATTAATGACCAGTGGACAAATTTTGCCACTCTACCTAATTTTGTGATTTGTGTAATTTTTGGACATTCACAGATGAAGTGTGACACAATTTCATCTTTTTCTTGGCAGAGTTGATGTGCTGTCAGCATTAATTCTTTGAATCTTAGTTTTCATCACATTGGAATACTTGTTCTCGTGCAGCAAAAATCAAGCCTTCGGTTCTTTCTTAATGGTCCCCAGTTTTAGCCGTGTCCATGTTGTATTATTGGTACACCTTCCATCAATATTTCTCAGATGCAGTTTTAGCCGTGTCCATGTTGTATTATTGTTACACCTTCCATCAATATTTCTCAGATGTTCTCCATGTAGTGGTTTATTTTTCTGTTTAACTTATTTTCAAATTGTCATTTCTTATATTGAGTCTTTGTTTCTATTGTTTTCAAAATATTCTCAATTTTCACTGCCTTAAATATTTTTTTTCTACTTGTACCAATATAATGATTCAGGCTTCTTTATTATTGTTGTTGTTTTTGCACCCAGAAGACATAGACCAAAAGAACATTAACTCTCTTATTCTATGTATAGTAGTATTGATAATCACCACATAAAATATGCCTATGTGAGGGTTCGACTAAGGTCTCAGGCTGGTTGGACAGAAACACAGTCGGCTCAGTTTTCTTAAAGTCAGAATGAGGATTTATTTGAACATTGAACAAGGAATTATCAACATTAAACTTGTCTGCTGCTTTGTCTCTTGCCGCCAACGGGTCAAACAAGGGTGTCCATAAATCTTGTAAAAACGGGTTGTAACCAGATTCATACCAGGGACCTTTAACAAAAGGGTTCTTGTCCTCATGGTCCTGGTTGTCCCAACCCGTGTCTATCAAGGGAAGGGTCTCCTCATTCCTTCCTTCCAAGTCGAAGGGGTCAGTCCCCTCTGTGTAGGGGTCCCAGGGTCCGGTAAATACCTCCTCCGGCGAGCCTCCTCCAGACACCATGCCTGTCTCTCACGCTCTTCTCTCTCCACCGCCTCTTTCTCTTCCCTCAAATGCCTCCGCCATTCTCTTTGGCTTCTGATTCCCCCCAGTAAGAAGTTTTGGGGGCAGACCGTGTCTCCTTCTGTACAGTGGGGTCTTGACTTGAGAACTTAATCCGTATTGGAAGGCGGTTCTCAAGTCAAAAAGTTCTCCGGTCAAATCTGCATTTCACATAGGAATGCACTGAAAACCATTTGATCCGTATCTGCTCTTTTCCGTCCATAGAAACTAATGGGAAGCTGCTATTCTGCCTTTGACCACTAGAGGGGGATATTTTGTTTCTATTTTTCTTAGGTCAAGAAAGGTTCAGGGAAGGCAGGGAAAATACAGTCCAGGCAGTACAGTAACAGGCAGTCTGAAGACTCCCAATCCACTCTCTAAACGCTGGGAGGAGTGAGGAAGCAGACAGGCACCCTTTTCACTGGCCAACAGTTAACTGAAAGTTCAAATTT